AGAACCAGGACCCTTGGGGCAGCTTGCAAGTGTTAGGTGGCGTCTCCTTGTCCTCCTTGTCTTCCCTTCTTTCGGGTAACCAGATTTTCCTTGTCTGCAGGCAAAATGTGAAGGGCCGCCTTCCAGCCCAGCATGTCCCTAGGAAAGGTTCTGGAGTAGGGTGTGGGAGCTGGGCAGGACCAAGAGGACACAGCAGGGCCTGACATTGACTTCAGGCCCTCCATGGGTCCGCAAGAGGGCTAGGAAGTGGGAAGTCTGTTTGGGGTCTCTCGCCATCCTAAGCAGGGTTCTGTCTGCTTCCACAGAGAAGGGTGTACTGCACAGCCTGCGCACCAGTGAGGAAGTACAAGGTGAGGCCATCAGCTCTAGGCCCATCTCCTTGGGATAACTTGAGGGGGTTCTTGCTGTCTCCCAGAGATACCTACAACCCTTTGCTCAGCCTCCTAAAAGGGACGGTCAAGTGTGCCAATGGGTGGGGCCAAACCCCTATGTGGCTCAAGAGTCCTGGTTGGGGGGCTAGGCCAAGTGACCGATGGGTGATGGGAATGCAGCCTCCAAACCCTTGTTGTCCATGCCTCCCCCTTTCCAAAGACGCTGCCCCCCATCAAGAACCAGCAGTCTTTCAACCAGCCTGCCAGCTGGAACCTGAAGATCCCAAAGGAGGAGTCATCCTGGCCACGCCCCAAGCCGCCCCTGCCAGGCATGCTCTACCTGGGCCTCACTGCCCGCACCCATGCCACCGACTACTTCCTGGCCAACTTCTTCTCAGAGTTTTCCTGCCACTTCTTGCATCGGTGAACTCTCGGGGAGGCAGAAGTCTCCTTCCTCTACTCTCTTGTCCCCTCCCCTGCTCCAGAACTGGGGCTGCCCAGATATAGCCCTTGGTGACTGGTTGAAGCAAGTGCAGAGGTGGTGGGACCCATTGGGCACTGCTGGACCCAAGATGCCTCATTACTGCTTAGGCCCTTACAAGAGAGGGGCAAAACAGCCAGAGCCTCCTAAGGAAACCACTTAGGCCTCCCTGCCTCTCCTCGTTCCTTCCTTTTCCAACTTGGAGCCTTTCTAGGTCCTGCACTTCCTCTGAGTGTTGGGTTTTGTTCCCCCTGCAATACCACCACATTTGGGTTAAGGCTGAGAATGTACATTTCTAACAAGTTCCCTGCTGAGAATCTGCATTTCTAAAAAGTTCCCAGGAATTTATACTGAAGAATCACCTGGGGATCTTATTAAAATGTAGATTATGATTCAGTATATCTGGGGTGGAAATGCAAATTCTCAGCAGGGAACTTGTTAGAAATGCAAATTCTCAGCAGGGGTTTGAACCGGTTGGAAGCCCTGAACTCACTTATGTCCTTATGCCTGGGCAGCCACCACCATTGCTTGTGCCCTCAAACCCAGCATGCTGGCTTGCCCAGGCCACTCAAAATGCCATGGTCTACCCCAGGAAACTGCCAAAGAAGAAGCCCCCTGGGGAGGTGCCAGAGATTTCTGAGGAAGAATCCACCTACAGTAAGTGGGCCTCTGTCTCCAAGCAGGAGAAGTTGCTCCTGATTGACTCTCTCACCACTATCATCAGGTAACCACCCGCTTCCTGTACCCTCGCCCTAACCATTTCTCCAGTTCATCTAGACAATTCTGCGTCTATCCATAGCCTCTGAAGTCCCTGACCTTCTTTTTCTGAGAAATAGAACTTCCTCAGAAGATCCCTTCACTGGTGGCCCCAGGACCCCCAGGATAGTGCAGCTATACTGGAACGGGCTGGAGGGATCCTCAGGGTTGGGTCCTAAGTTCTCCCCATCCATGGCTGGTAGATTAGGTTTGGAGTTCACTGTCTCCCCAGGGTTTTTGACCCTCATCAGTGTAACTCTGACCTCCTGGCTCCTCCTCCACCATGTAATGGTCACCTCCAAGAATCTATGGAACCCAAAGATGCCTTCCTCTGAAGAAGGGTGGGAAGGGCAACCGACCAAGGGCTCCCCTCCTCCACCTAGCACCTGCCTGTGGACACAGTAGGCAAGAGCTGCCCCTTTGGGAACCCTGAAGCCAGGGCCCCACAGGGGTCTTTGAGACCCTTCAACAAGGACCGTCTTCTCCTCCCTGCCACCCAGGGGTCTGTTGGAGGACAAGAACTTCCATGAGGCTGTGGACCAAAGTCTGGTGGAGCAGGTGCCTTACTTCTGCCAGTTCTGGAACGAGCAGTCGGCCAGGTCCATGGCCAAGAAGAGCAGCCTGCACTTAGTGCCAGTCCTGCCTCCACCTCCCAAAATCAGGAAGGAAGGGAAAAGCAAGGAGGAGGAGGAGTTCAAACCCACGCCGAGGAAGAAGAAATCGGGGGAAGAGGAGGAGCAAGAGGAAGAGGAGGAGGAACAAGAGGAAGAAGAAGAGGAGGAGGAGGAAATGGAAGAGGAAGAAGAGACAGAAAAGGAAGAGGATATGGGCAAGGAGGAGATAGAGGAGGAGAAGATGGAGGAGAAGGAAGAGAAGCTGGCCTGGATAGCGATGGAGCCCACGCTGCAGACTGCGTCCCGAGAGTCCCTGCAATGGCAGTGGCAGCAGCAGCTGAAGGTCATGATGCAGGAGGAGCAGGAGAGGGATGAGAAGGAGACCATCAGTCGGTGAGCAGCCGGGCCCGGGTGAGGGTTGGCAGAGGGCTGTGTGCACAAGGACCCAGGATGCCATGGTAAGCTGGGTAGGTTTCTGCCACGTGGGCATCTCTTCCCAATTCAGCGTTCAGTGACACCAGGTTGGTAGCTTAAGGCCTTGATGGGAATATTTACAGAACGTTTGAACAGCAAGCCTGAGCTTTTAGGTTTTGTGATTTTTTTTCCTCCTCACAGAGTGGTTAGCACCTTTTAAATGGGTTTCTACAGCCAGGAGAGAAGTATGGTGTCTTGCACCACCTTCCCCCAGGCCTGCTCTGTGGATGCTTTTTGTCCTTGTCCGGATTCCCTAGGCCCCAGTCAGTCTCTTTTGCACCCTCACATCGCTCACTGCCTTTTCCCAAACCTGGCCCAAGGATGCGGAGTAGGATTGCCAGGATTCGAATCCCACCACTTCTACCAGCACCGTGCCTTTTGGCCACTTGGCCTGTCTTAGCCACTCTTGGGGTGTGTAAAAGATGCCCCATAGCGTTGGGAAGGGGATGGTGAAATGAGAATCCAAGTAAAGCACATGGTGCACTGTACCGCGCACGCGAGGCGAGGAGAAGCGCCCTCGGACCGTGGCGGTACCGACGCTGGTGCCCCTCCCCACTCCATCCGCAGGCTCCCGGCCTTCGCCAGCCTGCAGGAGGCGCTGCTGGAGAACATGATCCAGAACATCCTGGTGGAAGCTAGCCGTGGGGAGGTGGTGCTTACCTCGCGGCCGCGCGTCATCGCCTTGCCGCCGCTCAGCGTGCCCAGGTGGGGGCGCCTGGGCCAGGCGACGCTCGGGCGGCAGGGGAGGGCAGGCTCAGCCGGCAGCCCCATCCCTACCTGGGGCTTCCTGTCTTCCAGGATGGTGACCCCGGATCCGCTGCCACAGACATCACCAGTGCACCAGCAGCAAGAGGAGGCGCCCCGCCTGGCAATGCCGCACGCTACTGACTCTTCGAGGATGGCAGAGCCCAGCCTCTCGGACCTGCCGCCCTAGCCCCGCTGACCTCTCCTCGCTCCCCCCCGCCCCCGCCCCCCCCCCCCACCGCGTAAAGCATCTAGCCTTTTTTCTACATCGCCCTTGACTTTATTTCCCCGACACGGGAAGAACTCGTGCGCGCGCTCTGGGAGGGACGGCTGGTGGGGGCGGTCGGGGTGGCCCTCAACGGCCTGGCGGGTCTGGGAGCCCGGAGGATGCGCCTTCACACTCAGCCCAGCAGCAGGCAAGAGTTCTTGCAGCTCGGGGCCCGGTAAGGAACTCCGTCCGGCCAGTGGAGGGCGCTCCAGCCCGGGCTTGATTGGCCTTGGCCCCAGCGCACCGGTGGGCACGAACTGAGCGCCAGGCCGGCCAGCGCGGCAGGTGGCCGCGAGATGGGGTGACCACCCTTACCCTCTCCCCGCGGCGCCAGCCCCGAGGCTCGGTAGGCCCCGGGCCAGCTCTTTCTCTCGGCGCCCGGCACTCTCAGGTGAGAGATCGGGAAATCCAGGCACGCCTCCGAGGGCCAGGAACTAGGCTCTGGGGCGTATTTCGAGGCCACTGCCAGACAACGGGCCACAAACCCTATCAAGCGTCTCCCATGGTGATTCTGAATCCGCAGACCAGGGACTGTACCGCCTTCCCTGGGATACCACCTCCCCGCTATCCCCAGCTCCCACCCGGCACCCTCAGTCCTCCACTGCTCAGCTCCTCCCCCCTGAGAGGCAGGTGCGTGGAAAAGTGACATCTGGTGTTGTTCCAGAGGCGCCCAGGTCTCCGGCACCCCCTCACACCCCCTCCCCCTCCAAGGCCTTGCAGGAGCTCCGGCCCCCGAGTGAGTGGGGGCGGGGACAGGAGGGGGGCGCTCCGCCTCCTCTGAGTCAATATTTGCCCTGAGCAAACGGGCGCCAGGACAGGTGTGAGTGTGTGTGTGCGTCTAGAGGCGGGGGCTGGCCGGCCGTATAAGAGAGCGCAGAGCCCGGGCCGCGGCACAAGCTCCGGGGCGGGGGCCGGGGACCAAGCCAAGCAGGGCCGGGCCAGGCAGAGGGAGCAGGGAAGCCGGTGGAGGGCGAACAAGAGGGAGGGGCGGGCCGGGCGCGCACCTGTGGTGGCCGCCGCCGACGTGTCAGCCGCAGGTGCGCGCAGGTGAGGGCGGCGGATAGCGGAGCGCGGGGCGGCACTGCGCTCGGGAAGACGAGGACCAGGCGATCATCGAGGCCCACGGCCCGGCCCCGAGCCCTCCGCTCCCGCCCCGCGACGAGCCCCTCGCACAAACCGGACCTGAGCGTTTTGTTCGTTCGGCTCGCGTGAGGCAGGGGCGGCCTCTCAGCACCCGCCCGGGGGCCCGGCCGGATCGCCACGCAGGCACCTGCAGCCGCCGCCGCCGCCATATGGGTCGCAGAGGCCGGTGCGCCGCTCCCCGGGGAGATCCGGCTCCCATCCGGCCCCACCCGCCCTGCCTGGCCCTGCCCGCAGCTCCTGGGCTGCCTTGCCGATTCCGGGTAATCCGGGCCAGCAGGCTCCACCGGGCGGCGGAGCGGGCTGTGGTGTGGAAACCTATATTCTAGTCCAGCTTTGTCCCAGAGACTTCTGTGGCCTTGGGCAAGTCATTTCCCGGCCTTTCCTCTGCTTTCCATTTGCACAGTGAGGGCTTGGCCCGGCCTCCGGCCTCTGAGAGGGCCTCCCCAGCCCTCATATCCTGCTTACTAGGCTACTAGCAATTCCTTTGGGCTCCTGACCCTGGGAAGATGGACGCTCTCAAGGCGCCCAGCAGAACCTGTGAGGTGTGGAAAATCTGGATGAGGGGAGCTGAGGGCCAAGATGGAGACTTAAGTCGCGGCCTGCAGATAGGGGTAGGATGCATTGGTGCTGACACCCTGAGATTTCAGTTTTCTCAGGTCTGAGACAGACGAGCAGATGGACTAAAATGGACTAACCGGCAAGGCAGCCCTTGCCTGATAAGGCCCAGCAGTGCATGACCTCCCCCAAGCTTCATAATCCCCATCCTCTCATTTTAGTCAGCTGGGAGTGGGAGTGGATCTCTGACGCCCTGGATCATTAGCCTCAACCCAAACCTGGAACAGATCATCCCCCTTTCCAGTTACATAAAGTGTTAAGGCTGGGGGTAGGGGGTGGGGAAGGAAGAGATGGCCTGGACCCCTGGCGTCCTGCTTGGAGAGCCCAGAACTGAGGGCTCCTCACAAGGCCTGGGGTGAGCCTGAGGGCCCAGCTGAGTCTCTTGCCCTGTGACTCCAGGTGTCTTCCATCCTCCTCCCTACAATACCAGAGAGAGGGGCCAGTGGAAGTTGGGAGTGGGAGGCAGGCTCCTTGGATAGCAATAAGGAGCTCCTTTCCCTGAGCCTGAGGAAGCATCATGGGAGAGGGACTGCACCCCACACACCTGGGCAGAGGAACCCCCAGGGAGAAAGGAACCAGGGCCAGGAGTCACTGGTCCCTTTCCAGCTCCAAACTGGATGTTTCTGGTGGCGCTGGCTTGTCCCCTCCACCACCACTCACTCCACACCTCAACCCCTTACCCAACTACCCACAGGCCCCACAGGCTCTGCTGAGTGCTTGGCACTGAGAAAGGGAGGGGGAGGGGTGAGATGGCTCTGACAGATCCCAGGCAGGGTTGGGAGGGTGGATTGCAGCTCGGCTCTGTGGAGCAGCCCTGGGGGGAAGGGAGACCCATGGGCTGGGGGCAGGAGCCGCAGCCTGGCTTCCTGACCAGGCCTCTGACCAGCGCTTGCTCCTTGTCTGGCACTGGATGGTTTGCCTGTCAGGGGCCTGGCATGGGGCTGGCATGTCTTCCCTGTGTCTTTGAGGGCTTCTCCTCTCCTCCCCCCATCATGGAAGGGGGCCAGAACTCCCCTCTGGCTGGGATTCCAGACCCTGAGGCCGCGCAATAAAGAGGTCTCCTCTAGAATGACACCTCCCTCCACCACCACCATACACAGAAGAATGAAATCCCCCAAGTGGGCTGGGGGTATCCCCTGGTGACAGAGAGCCACTGCCCTTCCCCCAGGGCCTAATTTCCTCCCGACCTGCACCCTCACCCATCCCCAAGACCCGCATTTCCTGACCGTGACCAGAAATCTGGCCTCATCCAGGTCCCTCCTCCCCTGCCTGGCTGGGGTGGAGTCTCCAGGCGCCAGGCAGGCCTGCAGGTGCGGGGCTGAGGGGGGTTCAGCAGCTGGTGTGCGAGGCGGTCCCCTCCCCCTCCTGCTCAAAGCCAGAGCCTGCTTCCTGTCATCCCTGTCAGCAGTGCCCTGGGTGGGGGAGGGGACAGGTAGTAGAGGAAGGGGAAAAAGGGACCCAGCAGTTGGAGAGGGGGTAGGGGTGGCACTGGGAAACTGCAGAAGAGAAATGGAAAGCAGAGAAGGATGAGAAAGAGAACATAGGACAGATAGAGAGTGCAGCCCAGAGGGGTGTAAGAACCACAGGGGGGGTTTCAGGGTCCAGAGAGGCAGCAGACCCCCAGACAGTGAGAGCAAGAGACACACAGGCAGGTACAGAACAAAGTGACTGAGAACAAGAGAAGAGGGACAGACAGACACAGAGGCAGAGTGACTGACAACCAGAGAGAAACCAGAGGAGGGACAGACAGACAGAGAGAGACAATGTTGAGTTAGTGAGAGATGTACACTTCAGAGAGATGGATGGATCTGAAGATGTGGGGATAGACTTTGGGGCAACCAGAAGTGGAGGCACAGTTTGTGGGGAGGAGGGGTGTGGCTATGTGAAATCAACCCGTCCTACCCCACATTAAACCAGTTGCCTTCGAGTTGATTCTGACTAATGGTGACTCCATGTGTTTCAGAGTAGAACTATTCCAAGGGGTTTTCGTGGCTATAACCTTTCAGAAGCAAATCACCAGGCCTTTCTTCTGAGGCACCTCTGGGTTGATTCAAACCATGAACCTTTCCTCTAGTAGCCCAGCGCTTAACTGTTTGCACCACCCAGGAACCACACATTGGGATAGAGAAATTACCCCCAGCAGAGGAGAAAGAAGTGGCATCTAGGTGGGCTGTAAATGGGGACAGCCAGGGCTGGAGGTGGGGGTGATGCCCCTGTCTTGAGAGGCCCATCTCCCCTCATTAAAGGACAAAAGATGAAGAGGGATGAGACTTCAGCCTGGAGTCCCCCTGCCTCTGGCCAGGGACTGGGGGCTGTGAGCAGGGGGGCATGGATCTGACTCCATCCCTCCCCCTTTCTCTCCTGGCCACAGCTGGACACACCACCATTCACCTCGCTGATTCTGGCCCAGCCTTGGGACTTCTGGGCTTGGACACTGCCCAAGGTCTGGGTTTGGGTGGAGGATCTGGCAGCGGAGGCACTGGGGGGAGTGGGGGGCTCATACCCAGGTGTTAATCCCCATCCAGCCAAGGCAGTCTGGGAGCCTAGATGACCTTCTTGGAGATTAGTCCCCATGGTGACTGTGACAATTCGCCCCCTCACTCTGGCTGGGCCAGGTGGGGGGGGGCAGGCAGAGGCTGGGGTGGGGTGGGGTGAGGAAAGACATTTCCTGAGGCATCACAGGAGTTAGGGCTGGGAGGTCCCTCAGGATCAGCAGCCAACTTAGTTTACAGGTGGAAACTGAGGCCCCAAGATGGGGAGTGACTGGCCAAGGCCACACATGGGTTCAGAGAAAGCACAGGACCCTGCACCAGGTCTCCAGCACCACTCCCAAGGGTTCTTTCCAAAGGAGAGCAGAGGCCTGAACAAGAACAAAGGAAATTGCGATGCCCCCTGCTGGCCCCCCTGATCCTCACAAACTGAGATCATGGGTATAGTCGCTTGAATGGGGTGAAGCAGGAAGGGGCCCCATCCCGAGTGCTAGGCTGGTTTCCCCAGGGCCAGGTATGGGAAGGGGATGCAGGGGCCATGCTTGCTGTCCTGATGACTCCCCCCAAGTGGGTCCAGCCCCAGGTAGGGGGCGAGGGAGAAACATGCAACAAAGCCAGTTATAATCACAGCCACAACAACAGTAATAGCTAATATTTATTGGGTTCATACTGCAGGCTAGTTCTGTGCTTTACATGCATTTAAATCTTCATAACAGCTCTACCATCACTGTCATCATCTTCATCATCATTATTCCCATTTTACAGAGGGGAAAACTGAGAAGGAGAGTGCGAGTTTATCCAACTTATAAGCAGGGAAGCTTGTATTTGAAGCCAGGCAGTGTAGCTCCAGAGTCCACACTGTCCCTCAGTGTCTGTATGATGGTGGTTGGGTGACTGAGATGAGGCCCCTCTAGGTAACCATGGAATGGGTATGAGCCTGTGTGGTGCATACATCCTTGAGTCCGACACCCAGCACAGAACCTGGCACAAGATACCCATAAAAAAAAAAAAAAATCATTGCCCTCGAGTCAGTTCCAACTGTGTAGAACTGCCCCATAGGGTTTCCAAGGAGCGGCTGGTGGATTTGAACTGCCAACATTTTGGTTAGCAGCCAAGCTCTTAACCACTACACACCAGGGCTCCTGGCACAGGATATGTCTTATGAAATATTTGGGTACTAAGCCAATGAACAAATGTCCGCCCGTAAGTGAATGTGACTGTTGAGATGTTTATGGAATCCTAGAACGAGACTGTTCACATGGGCTGCGTGTGAGAGCGCACCCATGTAACTGTATCTGGGTGGATGGCTCTGTCTCCATCTGACCTTGAACATGCCGCCCTGTGTGAGGCCCTGGCTCTGTCTTGGTGAGTGGGAGGTGGGGAAAGCTGCCTCCCATCTCCCTGGATGGGGGCAGTTCTCCATCCCCACTGACGGGCAACAAAGAGGGGCTGTGTTTATACTGGGAGAGGACAATGAGTCTGTGTGGGTGGGGCTCCTGTTCCCCTCAGAACCCACCTCTTTGGGCCCAGCTGTCGGACCCTGCCTGAGGGAGCTGGGCTGGTCTCTGCACCCGCGTTATCTCTGTCTCCCGGGAGACCAGACCTGCACAGCCCCAGGGAAGGTGCTCATCTGCCTGTTCCTGACTCCAGACCTGGGTGGGGGTGGGGAGCAGAGGAGCAGCACTGGAAAGGAGGGGCCAATGATGGTGCCAGGGTGGGGAGCTGAGACCAGGTGGGGAGGGCACCATTCACAGAATTTGCATCTTCAGTCACCAAAGCCCTGAATGATTTCCCAGTAAAATGAGGGGTGAGAGGTGGAGGCAGGCTGACTTGAGGAGAAGACATTGGCTCCTCTAAGCTGTTCAGCAGTGCTGGGAAGTGGGCTGTTTTCGAAATGGGGCTCTATACGAGAGAACCTGGGGTTCTCGGGGCCTTCATCTGGGATAGAGACCGGGGTGGGAGCTCAGGATTGGGTTTGAGGTTTCTTTGTGGGATCCATGTGCCCCATTTGGGATGGGGGGGCTTAGTGGAATCTGAGGGCTTCACTGAGGGGACTCGGGATTAAGTCTGAGGGCTTCTCTGAAGGACCTTACAGTACGTGTCTGGGATGGATGTTTTGGTAGAATCTTTGAGAGGAACCCTGAGGATTTCTCTGTGGGGTCCAAAGATCCATATATGAAATGGAGGACTGGATGGGTCTGGGGGTGGGTTCTTGGAGGGTGATGAGAACCCTATGGATTGCGAGGTCTCTTTGAGGTGTAGATCTGGGCATTCTGGTATTTTTTTTTTTTTTTTTTTTGGCCTACCTAACTCCCCCCTCCAAGCCCAAGGGCCGAGCTGTGGGTGTGGAGAGGGTAGGAGGGTGCTGAGCTGGCAAACAAAGCCACCTGTGCATCCATCCTTCAGGAAGCTGTGAGCACAACCAATCTAGGAAAACAAACAGGAACAGCTGCTGGGGACTGGGAGCAAGATAGGAGGGGGATGGAGGGAGGGTGGGGGGCCTGTGCTGGGACAGCCCAGTGGCGAGAGGAGGAAACTGGAAGGGAGTCCACAGTACAGGAGATGGGTAGTGATAGAGTCCCACTCTTGCACACCAGGCAGGGCCCGGAGAGCCCCTTCCTTGTCCCTTCCCCTCAGAGGCTCCTTCTTCCCTTTCTCAGTGACTGTGAGGCCCAATACGAGGGAGATGTGTTTGGGTATGTGAGGATCCTGAGAGAAGAGGTCTCCTGGGCAAGTGGCTATTGGCAGTGTGGGTGAGCATGCCCACTTCTGAGACAGTTGATGGCAGGCAGCCACAACTAAAAGCCATGGACTCACTGGGTGGGGTGGGGGCGGTGGAATGCTACCCAGTTACTTAATGCAGAGCCAAGATCAGCACTTACGACTGGAAGATGAGCGGTGGCCCTTCTCACACAGGGTCTCCACCCCAAATCCCGAGGGACCCCTAATTCCAACCTAGAGCTCAGCTCTTCTACACCCCCCCCCTTGTAAATACACAAACCCTCCTGCAGAATACAGTCCCCTGACCAACATCTGGACTGGAAACTGCCCCCACGCCCTCCTAGGTGGGGCTCTGAATTCAGAGGCAGGCCTAGACCCCACAAACACAGCGTCCAGCCTCCGATAGACACCCTTGCACCCTCTGGACTAACAGACAGCGCCTGCGTCACGGACCAGCACGGACGCACAACCTGACGCACTCGCCACCCTCCCCGCTGCCGGTCCTGACCTCAACCTCCCACCAATTCTCCTTCTACCCCGCCCCGCCGAGCCCATTTTCCGGCCTGCGCGGCCCACCCGCGCCCCCTGGTGGCCAAATCCAGAATTGCCGGGGGGAGAAAAAAAAGACGGATTGCTCATCTCCACCCCTTCCTGCTGCCATAGCTCCGACTTGAGAAACCGAAGGTAAAGCAAGGGCCAGGACACAAGGGCTCCAGGGCCGGCTCTTGACCCCTCTGTAATTTGGATTTCCTCCTTGTGGCATATGGAGAAATTATACCCTATCTGTGTTTCTTCAATCCCTCCCTAAGGCAGGGAGTCAGGGGACCCGTCACGGTCCTTTTCCCACCCCCAACTATGTTTGGCTGCTGTTGTCCCTGCTCTGAACCTAGTCCTTCCAGCCTGAACTTTACCCCCACTCCATGCCCAGTTCTAGCAGCTGTACTCCTGGCATCTTTACTAAACATGTGAGCCTCAACAGCAATTCCTCACCAGTGAAAGAGAGGTGCAAGGGAGGCTCCGGCTGCTCCCAGCGCTTGTTCTCAGCATCCGAGGACTTTGGGGATGGGGAGGTTGGTAGGATGCGCAAACCATCACTCCCCACCCCCGTCAGAGAATTTTCTCTATGGCCCCCTCCTCCCGGGCGTTGGGCCCACACCTGACTACTGTGTTCACTCATTCATTTCAGAAGTTTTACTGAGTACCTATTACATGTCCAGCACTGCTCTAGGTTTGAGGACAATAGCTGAGAACAAGACAGACACATCCCTGCCCCCCTGAATGGAGCTTACACTCTAGTAAGGGAGGCACTCAGCCCACTCCTCAATGAAAGATGACAAAGACAACTTTACAGAGTGATAAATGCTATAGAGAAGACAAGTGATGCGATGAAGAGCAAGAATGAGAGGGTCAGCCTCCCCACGCGAGGCAGTGCCAGCCATGCGAGATCTTGTGACTCAGACATTCCAGGTAAAGGGAACAGCAAATGCAAAGGCTCTGAGGTGGGAATAAGCTTGGCACACTGAAGGGAAAGAAGGGCAGTGTGGCTGGCCTTCCGTGAGCTGGCTGTGGCTCCATCTGGCCTGCTTGAACATTTTGTCACTGGAGATTGAATGAGGTAGTGTTGAGAGCACTGGCTTTGACGTCAAAAGTTCTAAATTCTAATCTCACTCTGACGTTATGAGCTTGGACAAGGCCCTCAACTTGAGCCTCACTTTCCACATCTGTACACAAAAACCAACCTCATAGGGCTATTGTAAATGTCTGTAAAGGAAGCGCTTGGCTCATGGTAGCACCAACAATATTAGTTCCCTTTGCACTCACCCCTCACACTTAGCTGATATCCCTATTTAAGGAGAACTCATTATTTTGCTAGAAGCCTTTGTGTCCCGTTGACTGTACAGCGGGTAGGAAATTCTGCTGCAAGTTGTCAGGAAATTTCCTCCCTGGAGCTTCCTTTTGCAGCTCCAAACCTTTTCCCCTACTGCATCTGGTATTGGAATGGGGGAGGGGGGTTAAGAAAGAGCCCGGGACCTTCACTCAAACAGAAGTCCTGGGTCACATCTCAGCCAGGCCCTCTAGGTGTCTGCTTCATCGTCTGTGAAACACAGACTAATAACAGCGCTTACCTCACCGGATGGGTATGAGAATTACATGAGACCACGCACGTGAAAGCGGGGAGCAGAGAACCTGGCCTATACGAGGCACTCAATAACCTCCTGTTGGCTCTCGGGTGGTCGTTGAACAGGAGTTTTGTGGTAGGCCTGGAAGCAGCCCTGGCTCTTCTAGAGCCCAGCCTGGGTCCCCTGGGGGAGCTGAGGCCCCTGTTACTGCTACTGCAGGTAGGGAGGCTGCGAAGCCTCGCTGTGTCTGTGCTTAAGTCCTTGAGGTGCTTGGTTGGTTGAACTGCAAAGTTAAAAATTGCTTCCAACCTGAGGCCTCTGAGCAGAAAGCCTGGGCCCCTCAGGCCTGGATTGCAGTCGGTTTGGGTCTTCACCTTTCAGAGCGGCTGGATCTGCCATGTGGTGGGTGTGTCAAGGGGAAGGGCCTGGGGTTGGGAAAAAAGACCGGGTTTCTGGGGCTTTTCAGTCACAGCACTCTTCTTAGGTTGAAGGTTGAAACACTCTTCTTACCTACCTTAGCTAGCTACTCTGTTGATTACTAAAACCAAAAAACCCAACCCGTTGCAGTCGAGTTGATTCCGGCTCAGGAACCCTACAGGACAGAGTAGAACTGCCCCATAGGGTTTCCAACGAGCGCCTGGTGGATTCGAACCTCCAACCTTTGTGGTTAGCAGCCGTAGCACTTAACCACTACGCCACCAGAGGTGATTACTATTATTCCTAAATGTTTTATAACCCGGTACCCTCAAATTCCCTGCGCTTAGCGCCGCCTTGCGGCGAGTTCTGGTCACCGCCTCCATCCGGCTTCAGCGCGGCCAGAGGAAACTCCCGAAGAGCAGCGCAGGGTCTGTGAACTCACGCTTGGGAGAAAAGGGGCCGCGATGGCCGAATCCTCCAGGGCAAAGACGACTGAGGGGCGGGCGGACAGTGGTTTGCCGAGCGCTTCCTCTCCCTCCACACTAGCGTCGCCCAGAAGAGAGGCCTCGACCTAAGGCTGAAGAAGAGATGGGATTTATATGCTGGGAAGAACTTGCCGGCTAGACAGGAGAGTGCGGGCTTCGCCGGGGCCCCAAGGCGGCTAGGTGCGTGCATCAGAGGAGACCAAAAGGGGTGTGTTCTGCCCTGAGGCCGGCTATGCCCTGCGTGGCTCAGGCCGGAAAGAAAGCAAACACGGGAGTCAGCCCCGGCTGTGCCTGGCGCGGGTCGAGCGCCTCAGTACTTTCCGTTGTGACCCCCGCCAGGCCTTGCTGCCGGAGGACCCCCAGAGCTGACCATAGCCTGCCGGCTGACTCAGCCGCCCCCACCCCAGTGGGAGAGGGTGGGAGCCGGGGCGAGCTCTAGGTATAAAGCCCCACGCGCAGCCTTTCCATCTTCGGTCTGCGCCCCGCCCACCACACGGTGACGACCCGGTGCCGGACAGGGAGAGTGGCTCGAAGCCCACCCCAGCTCCAGCCCTCGGGGCCTTCACCACCAACCGGGTTGGGTGGTCCAGGCCAGGGAGGGGGGCCTGCGCGGAACTGAGCGTGGCATCCCACCCCTACTGTCCGCAGCGGCAGGGGCCCCACGCCCGCTTGCCTCACGCTCTGGGACGGCGAGGACTTCCAGGGTCGCCACTGCCGGCTGCTGAACACCTGCGCCAACATCAGCGAGCGCAGCGGCTTGCGCAGGGTGCGCTCAGTCAAGGTGGAAAGCGGCGCGTGACTGATCACCCGGCCGCAGCTGGGCTGCGGCGGGGACTGGAGGCACCAGGCTCCCCAGGAACAAGCTCGGAGCTTGGGACCTCAGCCCCCAGCCCTTCTGCCCCCGGACACTGTGTCCTAGACCTTAAGCCCTGAGAGAGACCCACCAACATGGCAAATCCCACGGCTTCCCCCAAGGCTCCCGTCACCCTGCAAAGCAATCATGGGAAGGAGAGTGTGTCCTTGCGTGAGCTAAAGGGACAGAGGCGAGTAATGCCCCCTTACGGAGCTCCATGGGGAAGGCCGAAACTTCAGCGCGGTTTCCACTGTACTTATATCCTCCCCAAGGTTTTCTGTGTGCACTTAGATGGCTCTGGGCTTTGTTTAACAAAAGCCACACCCCTTCCGCTCGCCACGCCCTGGTCTTCTAGAGCCCAGCCTGGGGCCCCGGCAGAGCTGAGGCCCCTGTTACTGCTACCGCGGGTAGGGAGGCCGCGAAGCCTCACTGTGTCTGCGCTTAAGTCCTTGAGGTGCTTGGTTGGTTGAACTGCAAACCTAAAAATTGCTACCAACCTGAGGCCCCTGAGCGGAAAGCCTGGGCCCCTCAGACCTCGGATTGCAGTCGGTTTGGGTCTTCACCTTTCAGAGCGGCTGGATCTGCCATGTGGTGGGTGTGTCAAGGGGAAGGGCCTGGGGTTGGGAAAAAAGACCGGGTTTCTGGGGCTTTTCAATCACAGCAAGCAAGCGGGAGGGGGGAAAGATTGAGCCTGAGGCAGGTGCCTCCGAGATCCTCTTCTCCTTCCTCAGCTGGGTGGGCTTCGAGTACCCCGACTTCCAGGGACAGCAGTTCATCATGGAGAAGGGTGACTATCCTCCGTGGAGCGCCTGGAGCGGCAGCAGCGGCCTCCACAGCGACCCGCTGCTGTCCTTCCAGCCGGTGCTCTGCGCGGTGATCATGTCCACTCCCCCTCCTCCTCTGCCTCCCAGCTGCAGGCCCTGGCCTCACCACAGCGCACGGGAAGGTCGCCCGCCCCCTCCATGTGGTTGTAAGCACAACTTATAGATGAGTGGTAGTGGCATCACATCTCAGAATCAGAGGGGACTCAGAAGGTTGGGATGGTGGGGTAGCCCAGGCAGCCGGGAATCAGCACTGCGGACAGCGACGAGACCCTTCCTGTCTTGAAGAAGCATGGGCCCCTCATATCCCCTCCTCTACACGTGTGGGGCCTCTGTCCTTACCCAGCCCTGTGAGGTGGGGTGGCTGCTGTTAGCCCAATAAACAGATGTGGAAATAGGGCTCAGAGGGGTAAAGCGACTTGCCCAGAGCCACAAGGGTTAACATGGAGATAAGATTAGAACTCAGTCCAGAGATCAAGGTTGAGAAGAGGGTGGGCTTCAGTGTTTGTGTTTGTGTGTGTGTGTGTTTGTGTAGTGGGGCAGGGTTGATAATGAATCAATATACTGGAGAGGAGGATTGCATTTCCCATTTGTGTTGACCTAGCTATGGTACTGGTGAGTCTGGGGCCGGAAGGCGGAGGGCAGAGAGCAGGTGCTGACCTAGCCCAGTTTCTCCATTCCATGAGGCCAAGAAGCCCTGCAGAGGGAAGGGCCTGGAGCTGAAGTAGCCAAGACCCAATGCTGATGTCCTGGCCTGTCTGTTCTGACTCTGCCATCCAGTCCGCCTTAGCTGGGCCCTTCCCTGTGAGAAGCCAAGTCCAGAGTGCCAGGCAGGGGATTAGCTAGTCAGTGCAGCCCTTAGGGAACTTGTCTTGGTTAACGGGCCAGATTCTCTCAGGTCCTCTTATTTTCCCCCTGCAAAACAGATATCTTCCATCCCCAACCTGGAATGATCTCTGGGAATCCCCCAGTCTCATCCCCTCAGCCCAAAGCCACAGGAGGGGCCAGGCAAAGGACCTCTGAGCATTTCAGCTTGGCAGGGAGCTAGCAGAGTGAACACAGGGAACATTTGTGGGACCTAAATGGCTGCACAGCTTGTGTTGGACAGTGGGTTGGGGGAGTGGGGCTGAGGATGAGGCCATTCACACCCCTTGGGAGTCCTGACCCCTCCCATCTTCCTGTCCTTCAGAACCATAGTGACAGCCGTGTGACACTGTTTGAGGGGGAGAACTTCCAGGGCTGCAGGTTTGAACTCAGTGATGACTACCCATCTTTGTCTGCCATGGGGTGGGCCAGCAAGGACGTGGGTTCCCTCAAAGTCAGTTCTGGAGCATGAGTCCTGGGACTGGAATAAGGGGCATGGGAAGAAGAGCAGAGAGGCAATGGGGACCAGGGAGGTGGGTGGGGAAAGTGATGAGGGGGGAGACATGGAGGATTGGAGGCAAGGGGGGAAATGAAATGATGGAGACTTAGAGGGAAAGAGAAGAGAAGAGATAGGAGAATGGGAAAGAGGAGTAATGTGGGGCTAGAGGAAGGGCTTGGAAACATGGGTGGGGCAGTGGGAGGTGGGGACAGGAGAACAAGATAAAGAAGGTGATAAAAAGACTGGGAGCAGTAGGCAAAGCAGGGAGAGATCCACATTAAGAAAGCTGAAGCAATGGTGTTGGAGCTGGGGGTAGGGAGGTGAGAAAGGGGGAGTACTAATGGAGGATTCAGGTGGAGGTGGGGGAGATGCCAGGGCAGGGCAGGACCTACTCACCACCCTGTGCCTACCGGGGGTTACCAGTATGTCTTGGCTACCGGGGATACCAGTATGTGTTGGAGTGAGATTGGCATAGTGGGGAGTTCCGGACCTACAGAAAATTTGGTACTCAGGTCCACACCAGGCAGCTACAGTCCATTCAGAGAGTCCAGCACTAGGCTCTGTGGCCCCAGACACCTCCATTGAGGACTCAGTAAAGCCTCCTGAATCTGCCTGTCCCTCTTGCTTCCTTGCTGCCTTGCTTTATGATCTCCATCCTCATCCCTGCCAACTCTCCCCTCCCCTCAGGCTCCAGGACCGTTGACTATGGAGCATAAACTAGTTTAGGATGTATGTGGGCAGCCTCTGATGGGGCTGAGAGGAAGCCACTGGCAAGAATCTTGGGGATCCTGTTAAATATAGCCAATCTCACACGTCTCTTTGGCAAAGACCCATCAGCTTGGGCCAGGAGTATGGCTAACCCAGACAGCAACTTTGCTGTCCTCTGGGTGGGGTGGACAGAGCCCCACAGCAGTGGTTTCAACCTCCACACACCCCCTGGGCCAAGTACTGGTGTGCAGGGCTGAACCTCTTTAACCCTATGTAGAGGCTCTGTTGGGTTCCTCTCTAACCCCCTGAACATTTTCAGCCTTTCCTTCATTCTGGTTCCCCATCCAGCCAAGGGAAGCTTGCACCTCTTTCAATAGTCCTTTTCCCTCCAGTCCCAGCTTTACAGAATCTTGGTCTTATAGAGGAACACGGTGTGAGGGGCGGAGCAGGTGGGAGGTCCCATTGCCTCCCACGGCTTTCTAAGGAGGAGACTTCCTCTCTCTGAGCCCAGCCTCCAGATCCCTTGTCTGAATAACAGTCCCTAACACGGTACTGGGCTCTAGCATTAAAAATTTTTTTCATATTCCCCTCAGTCGATCCAAACAACCCTCTCTTCACTCTTCCTGTCCCTCCCCACTCTTCAGAGGACTGGTGAGCTAGAGAAGCCACCCCTCTGCCACTCACATCAGTGAGCCCGGGTTCTGGGGCAGGTGGGGCTGAGTGTAGTAGTAGCCATTAGAATCCCTGGCATCAGTGTGGTTTCTTCTGGGCCCTCTTTTGGGCCCAGTGAATGGTACCCCACCCCCACATAAGAAGAGCCTCCTAAAGCCCTTGGGCTTCCCTCATCCTGTGCTTCAGGGGTGCTTTCATTTTCAGGCCCCCCACAGTGGACCTATCAATGGAAAGCGGTGGCCCGATCACTGCCCCAGCCAAAGGGAGGCAGGGTAGTGTTGGAGAGCCATCAGACCTGTGCCTGGGCAGTCTCCTGGGGCCCAGCAGTAAAGTCAGGTAGCTGCTCTCTGGAAAAGAGCCCTGGCCCATGGAGGACTGTGGGGACCATGGTCTCAGGGAACATCTAGCTCAACTGGCATAACACAGTATTTAAGGAAAATGTTCTACATTCTACCTTGGTAAGTAGCGTCTGGGGTCTTCAAAGCCTGTGAGCAGCCATCTAAGATGCACCACAGGTCTCACCCCATTTGGAGCAAGAGAGAATGAAGAAAACCAAATACATAAGGGAAAGATTAGTCCAAAGGACTAATGGACCACAACTACCATGGCCTCCACCAGACTGAGTCCAGTACAACTAGCTGGTGCCCGGCTACCACCACTGACTGCTGTGACTGGGATCACAACAGAGGGTCCCAGACAGAGCTGGAGAAAAATGTAGAACAAAATTCTAATTCACAAAAAAAGACCAGACTTACTGGCCTGACAGAGACTGGAGAAACCCCAAGGGTATGGCCTGCAGACAACCTTTTAGCTCAGGAATGAAGTCACTCCCGAGTTTCACCCTTCAGCCAAAGATTAGACAGCCCCATAAAAAAACTGAAACTAATGGGGCACAACAGTCCAGGGACAAGGACTAGAAGGTAGGAGGGGACAGGAAAGCTGGTAATAGGGAACCCAAGGTTGAGAAGGGACAGTGTTGACATGTCGTGGGGTTGTTAGCCATTGTCATAAAACAATATGTGTACTAACTGTTTAATAAGAAACTATTTGTTCTGTAAACCTTCATCTAAAGTACAATTAAAAAAAAAAAAAGAAGAATCAGGGGAAAAAAAGAAGAGCCCTGGCCCAGAAATCAGCATACCTGGGGCCCAATCACATAGCATCCTTGAGCCACAATTCCCTCACCTCTAAAATGTGGTGATTCATTCATACCTTGATGGTCTCACAGGGTCATTGTGAGGATTCAATAAGAAAGCCCGGAAAATGCTTGCTGGTGTTATGGAGAAGCATTGAGGCAGCCGATGCCAAGGGATGGAGCTCCAGGCAGTTTATGAATTCTGCTTTACACCTGGGTGGACTCTACAGTCCATGCTCCTGTTGCATTTGATCTCCCCAGCAGCCTTCATTCTTCATCCACCTCACCAATGAAGCAACTGGGACTCAGAGAGGGAGAGATCTTGATAAGATCACCCACTTAATTGTGATAAAGTCAGGACTTGAACACAGGGCTCCTGACCCCAAATCCAGGCTAAGTGGAGACTAAAAGCCCCAGGCCTCAGCAGAGCTCTACACCTCTGTGGGGCCCCAGGGGAGCCTGGGGTTCCTAGCTGGTCACAGGCTCCTCCCCATTACCTTGGGGGATGGTAATAGTAATAGCTAACACATATAGAGCTTGTTCTGAGCACTCCACATGTGTTATATAAACCTCAACACCCTATATGGTATGTACTATGATCCCCATTTACAGATGAGAAAGCTGAGGTGTAGAGGTTAGGTAACGTCCCTCAGTCATACAACTAGGGAAATGGGGGAGCTAGGAGTTGAACCCAGAACCCAGACAAACTAACTTCAGGCTATCTCCCCACCGTTGTTTTGGGGGCCAGGTGGAGGGTAAATGGAGCTCTGATATCCACCCTCAGCTGAGCTGCCCTCCCCCTAGCAGATGCTGTGGTCACTGGAAAGAGTCAGCAAGAGAGCTTCAGAATCTGGTGTGCGACCCTGAGCAGGGCTCTCCCCCTCTCTGGGTCTCAGTTTCCACAACTGTACAAGGAGAACGTAAGGGGAGCTGATCCCTGCTGCAGCCTTTGATGCTCAGATCTTCCAGATTTTTCGGACACTGGGTTCCCTAGGCTCCCTACTCCCACAGTCAGGGGCCAGGAACAGCCTGAGTGTTTTCACTTCCGTGCCCCCTCCTATTCTGTGCAGGCAGAACCCCATGGGACTCCCACCCAGTTGGGTTGGAAGGTGTTATGGATTAAATTACGTCCCCCCAAAATATGTGTTGTAAATCCTAATCTCTATGCCTGTGTTTATAATCCCATTTGGGAATGGGTTGTCTTTGTTATGTTAATGGGGCAGGATTAGTGAAGGGTGTATCTTGAGTCAATCTTTTTTGAGATGTAAAAGAGATTAAACAAGTGAGCAGAGCAGAGATGGGAGAAGAGATGCCCAGCCACATGAAGAGATGCCCAGGAGCAGAAACTCAGAAGAGACAAGGACCTTCCTCCAGAGCCGACAGAGAGAGAGAAAGACTTCCCCTAGAGCCTGCAGCCTGAATTCAGACATATAGCCTTCTAAACTGTGAGAAAATAAACTTCCGTTTGTTAAAGCCAGCCACTTGTGGTATTTCTCTTACAGCATTACTAGATAACTAAGACAGAAGGGGATGGAAGGGAAGGTGCTCTAGACTCACCCCATCGACCTCTACCCAGGCCACACTCACAGCCTGAGGGGATGGAGGAGGTTGCCTCCATCTGGTGGGCCAGGACCCAGGTGGGATGGGAGGACCCCCAGCACAAACTCCCTGAGCCCTACCCCTTCAGCACCTGAGTGCCTGCAATGAGGGCCTGGCAAGGAGCCTATTTGCACTGTTGATCTTTTTCCCACTCCAGCTAGGATTTCTGGGTAGACCCCACTCTGAGCATCTCTCCTTTTTGCCTCGGCCTTCCACTGAGAACCTTAAGTGGGTGAACCCCACTGCCAGATCCCACTATCGCACTCCACACTCCTGCTCTTGTTTTCTGTCAGCAGTGACTTGGGGAAGTGGCAAAATGTACAAGGGCACAAAGAAGAGGCATAGGAACCTGGAACCCACCTCACGGTCCTCCTCTCCCTCGGAGCCCTGAGTTTCGTCCCCAGGGAGCATCCCAACCTCTCCGTCTTTGCTCCCAACAGATTCCACATCCACATTCTGAAGCCCCCATCCCTGTCTCTTTAGGATCCTCTGGGATCCTGGGATCCCCCACTTTGCCCCAGACTCTGCCTCCCATACTCCTTCCTGGCTCTGTGGGACCCCAGGGTCCCAGGCCTCCTTATCTCCTGAGCTCAAGCAGTGGGAGAGAAGGGCCTTAAGCTTACTGATTCTGACAGTAGCCAAGGGTGCTGCATGGCTGCAGAGGGTGGGCTCCCAGTCCTGGGTCCCATCTTCAGCCACATCCTCCTTAGCCTGCCTCTCTAGAACCCGGAAGCCCCACAGGTACCCAGAGACTCTAGGCCACTTGGGAACCACCTCAGCATCACTAATAACACAACCAGCATCTTTGCTTGAGTTAGGAAAAGAGGCCCCTTTCTCCAGGTGGATTTCAGTCTCCACTGCTCCCTGGGCTCAGGGTCTTGTACAGTCCACAACCTGCACAGCCGAATGGAGCAGCCCTGTCTTAGCCCCTCTACCTCTGCTACAGCAAGGTGCCAATTGCAGCCTGGTTCAGAGAGAACCAAGACAGGGAGGAGAGAGGGTGGGTGGTAGGCTGGGATGATCGGATGGGAAGGATGGAAGGGCAATAGTTGTAGGACTGAAAGAATCAGAAAGGAAAGGGGAGTGGGAAGAATGAGAGAGGAGACTGGAAGGGAGACGAGAGTAGGAGAGAGGCGGCAGAGGCGAGACAGAAGAGGAATGACAGACCTAGGAAGCCAAGGGGGTGGGGGAGGGAGACCCACGCGAAGTCGCGAGGGAGACGCCCAGCGCCGGGCCTGAGGCCTAGGAGCGGTAAGCAGGCAGGAAATAGGGCGAAAGGCAGAGAGAGGCAGAGAAGGGGATCGGGTCTCTAGGGAAGCGCAGAGAGTGGGAGATGAAGGGGGGAGAGAAGGCGCAAGGGGAGGACGGAGATAAAGGGAGCGACGGCTGCCGCCCAGCCGGGAACGCAGCGACAGGCGAGAGGGAGGGAAGCGGAAATTTAAA